ACTATTCGTGGACTCTCTTTTCACGAACATCGTTTAGTGAAGAAAAAGCTCAAAAGCTCAATGCAAATCGTCTTCACATTCACATGCACATGGATGCAGAGCTAGAGCGAAATAGCTCAAAAGCTCAATGCAAATCGTCTTCACATTCACATACACATGGATGCAAAGCTAGAGCGAAGTAAAAGAAACAAAATAACTATTGGGCCGATCGCGAACGAGCTTTTTGCAAAGCGACTCAAACGGTTGAGCTTAAACTTTCGTTAAGTTCCTTCTCAATGTGTGAGTGAAAGAAACAAAAGGTCAACAGTTATTAGCGAGCTATGAGCAAAAGCTGAGTTACTTGAAAAAGCCAATTCGAGAATTAACTAAATTACAAATTCATATATAGACATAATTATATATAAAACACACACAAAATAAGATGACAATATATAAAAGAAAAGTGTAAATTTAAGCGAAATTCAATTTTTTATTTGTCGAGCAGCGCTCAAAACTCAAAGTTGGCCTAAAACGTAATCAAAATTGATTTGTAAATAACTAGAAATATAAATATGAAAATAAAACTAAACATAAAATTATATTTAATATGAAATTTATACATTAAAAGTCTCTCTACTCAAGCACAAACTTTAGCTTATTTTGCCTATATTTTGTACATAATTTATGCTTACATTTAAAGTTAGTCAAGCGCAAAAATGTATATTTAACAAGAAATAAATATTGAAAAAAAGCTAAAAGAAAAACAAATTTACAAGCAATTTTTGAGCAATGAAATTCGATATTATTTTCAGTTCTTTCACGGCTGAACAGCAAAGCAAATAGAAGAGGCCCAGCTGCAACGTTCATTTGCATAACAAATTCAAATAGTTAAACAAAACAAACGTATGAAAATAATAAAACAATACAAATGAAACAAAACAGAGAAAATATTGAAATTACAGCAATGCAAGTCAAGAGCGAAGAGCAAAGAGCTAAACAAATGCAATTTGAATTCGCATTTGTTTGATTCCGAAATTTTTAAATTAAATTAAAGTAAAAAAAAAATAACATCAAATGTGTGTATAAAAAAATATATAAATAATATATGCTAAAGTATTTAATTGAATTCATATATATACAAATATATATATGTATGTATGTATGTATCTGATAGACACTGGAAATTGCGGCAACAACTAAATTCACAATACACAAATGCAAATGAAAAATAAAAACAAAATGTTATTTCTTATACGAAGACTGAGGAAAACGATGATGCAAGAATAAAAATAAAAAGTAAAAAAAAAATAAA